CTGCAGATGGAAAGGTGCAGGACACCCCATGTGCAACGTCGGCCACACGAGCACCACGGGAGGACAGGACGCCGGGACCTGTAGGGCGCACTGGAATGTAAGCCGGCCGACTCCCTGCGTTCAGGTGCGGGAAGGGGTGTGGAGCTGTATTGAAGTCAATGGCATCGCCCACAGTGCGATCGCCCGCACTCGGAACGCAGGCATGTTAGTGCCTTCATTCCGGTCCAGTGCGATCTGCAAAAATAGTGCTCGCAGCATTTTTGCGGATCGCACTGGACTGGAACACAGGCACTAATGCAGGCGATCGCACTGTGGGCGAGGGGCCTGCCTGCGAAGCCTGGCTGCGGTGCCATTGACCTCAATGCACTGCCACGCCCCCTCCCGCCCCTGAATGGAGGTGTTTTTTTCGTTGGTAGATCTCAATGAACTCGTCATTTGAAAAGTAGATCTCCAGACGAAAAATAGTGGGCGCCCCTGCTTTAAGTAATGTTAAAATCACTGCTCCTTTAAAAAACTGTGCTTTTTAAAAGTTATTTTTTCATTAATTCCTGTCCCCCAGGGCAGGACCCGGATCCCCTTTTATGGTCAATAACTTGTATATAAGCCCTCTTAAAGGGGACAATTGTTTTTGAAAGTTCTACCCCCATTGACTTGCATTGAGTTCGAATTCAAACTTTTTGGATGTTCTAAAGTTCAAATTCGAAACCGAACTGAGGCCTGTTTGGCCCATCACTGTTTTTAAATGACACCAAACATTGTCTCTATGCAATAAAACAGTTTACTTTAAGGAGTTGCAGGTTTACAGAGAACTAGCGGAAAAGGCTCGGTGCCACGGCTTACTTAAGCAGGTTGTGTTTGGGATATTTCATGGCCTTTGAAAAGAAAAAAGAAAAGCTTTCTTGTTGTGTCATTGTTCCCTGATATGGAGCAGTACGTGTCTGTCTGCACTTCTTAAGAGCCCGGCTTAAGCAGCGGATCACAGAGGACAGCTTCCTGAACATTCCATGCTATTGCTCGTGTATGGAAGTGCGATGGAGCACTGGGCTGAACTCCGCGGGGAAATCCCAGAGTTGCAGGTGAAGATTCTTTCACAAGCCTCGTCTCATCATCAGGACTAGCGTGCACTAACTTAAGCATGCAATACAACCACAAGGTGCAATGCTATGTCCTAAAATAATAATTCAATTGATTTCTTTTTTATTGTGTGGAATCATAACCATCTGTGTTTTTGTGTTTCTCTTTTGGTATTTTTACGGTAATCTTTTGTTGACAAAACATGATTTAATTATATGTGTTTTTATGTAAGCCAAAAGAAAAAAAAACATGCCTTAAATATACAAATATTTCCTTTAGCAGCAAACTATTTGTGCCTGTACTGATCTTCAAGCGGGGTTGTAGAGTGTACATATATAATGAGGAGCCACGGTTTTTATTTTAAACAGTCCGGCCACCTTACTAGTCCAAAAACTACCAATCCGCAGCTCTGCCTGAACAATCACCTGATGTGTGCACCCTAATACCCTCCACATAAGGAGAGACCATAGACTGAATTCACTATACCATGTGACCCAGGCCAAGGCATTGATCAAATGTTCAACTGTCAGAGGGAGTCCAGATTACCGTTATTTTAGCAAAAGGTATAACTTCCAGCTGCTTTGTATGCTTTTTCCTACCTCATGAATTTTGCTACAATTTTAAAATAACTGCATTTAAAGCAAAACTCTGGGCAAAATGGTTCTTAACCCTTGCAGTGGGGCTACCCCCCGCACTGCAAGGGTTAAGTGCTCATTTGTGTCTAGGTGCTAAAGAAAAAGTTATACTCACCCGATGCTTGGAGCCGACTTGCTCTTAGACAGGTCTCTGCAGCTTCTCTCCCCCTCTGCTGCAGCAGTCTAAGAATCCTTGAGTCATCATGTCCTGTACAGTATATGCCAAGGGACACACCGCTGCAGCAGGGAAGGAGACAGCCTTCATGGACCAGCCTGCTACGCAGTTCAGGTTAGTAAAACATTTTTACGCCTAAACACAAACAAGCAGTTAACCCTTGCAGTGCAGGTGGTAGCCCTACTGCAAGGGTTAAGACAATTTTTGCCTGGAGTTCTGCTTTAATTATTAATTGTTTTCTGATCAGTGTTGATAAAGTGTGTTACCATGTACCAACATTAATAGTCTTGCTGGGTGGACACATTAAGAGTAATAGAAGGGCCAAAATACTAAACTTTCCTGGAGAATATAAAGCATTAGTCTCCTTTCAGTGCTGCTGACATAAGCAATATCAGAGTTCAGATTAGCACATGCCTATCAGAGCAGATGTAACATACGCAAACAACTAGGCTATTATAGAAAAAGCACTGGGGGGAGCCTGAATCAGCATGTTCTCATGTCTTTGCTAACAGCCTTTCTTAAAAGGCCACATGTACAAAAATATAATAATTTGTACGAGCATTTATCTATAATTTGCAAATGACCAACTCTCCCAGGAATGGGATGTTGGAAATTGCAGGAGAATTATTGTACATATGGACACACCTGGAGTTTAACATTGGTATTGTCTTTTGGGTTTTATATCTTCATATGAAAAAATGTGATATATCTGTAAAGTCAGTCCAGTATAGGAAAGGTGGCAGTGTTGGATAGCTGTCATCAGCACCTACAATGGATAGATGTTGAATAGGAGAGGATATTGCCAAGAAGGATGTTAGAGACACAGCGATGGTTTGCCAAGTGATAAGGAATGTTTAGGGAAGGAGTAGATATAGAAAAGGAAGAGGGGGTAAAACACAATACATATACCCGGATATGCTGAAAGATGTAGTAGGAACTAAGGATAAGGAAACTGACTGTCTTTTCTTTGCTGAAATTTGGTAATGAGGAACGTAAAACTAAGGTGGTGGCTTAGGGTGCAACAAGCATTTGGTGACTCCTGCAAGTTAAAAAAATTTCTTTAGGCTTTACATTGTATATCAGCGTGTGTAAAAATGCAGGTTAGCGTGCGTCAACACATTTTTTGTGTATAGTTTACTTTTCTATTATTTTTTTTTAGAGACAAAAAAGGTGAAAATAGTAACAAAAAATCTTAAAGCAGCAGAAGTTTTTTAATTAAATAAAATACACTATAAATCAGGGATACAATAGAAATCATTCCTGTGAATTGTTACTTAAATATTTTGATGATTATTTTTTTGCCATAAGTAAATCAGTTATTTTTGCTAAAAATTAATTTGCTTACCATTAGTGGTAACTGACAGAAAGATATAAAAAGGGGGTGTGTATATATATAGTACATATCCATATATATATACACACATATATATATATATATATATACACACACACACATCATCTAGAGATGCCCGATCGCTTGTATTAGGTGCGGTTTTACCCTACATAGGCGGGCCTTCCTTCTCAGGAAGTTAGAGCTCATTCTACCAGATCTGTGGCTACACCCTGGGCAGCCTACGCCAAGGTTCTGTGTGTAAAGCGGCCAGCTGGGCATCTACAAACACCTTTATCAGGCACTATAAAGTAAGGTGGATGTCTCTGCTTCTTCTGCCAAGCCTTTTGGATCGTCTGTACTTTCTTCAACTTTTTCATATGAATAAATAGTCTCCCATTGTTCTCTTGTTTTGGATAGCTACATCCCATTGGTATGCTGACATGAGGTAGAGCCAGGAAAGTGACACACACGCACCCAGCCATCCACATGATATAAAAGAAAACGTACTTCACCAGACCAGGCCACCTTCTTCCATTGCTCCGTGTTCCAATTGTGATGGTCAATATACCCTGCGGCTACACAGCCCATATGCAACAAACTATGATGCATTGTGTGTTTAGACACCTCTCTATCAGAACCAGCATGAACTTTTTCAGCAATTTGAGCTACAGTAGCTCTTTCATATCATTAAACTACACAGGCCAACCTTCGCTCTCCATGTGCATCAATAAGCCTTAGCCGCCCATGACCTTCTCGCCGGTTTACCTTCCTTGGACCACTGTTTGTAGGTCCTGACCACTGCAGACCTGAAACATCTAACAAGAGCTGCAGTTTTGAAGTTGCTCTCATCTGGTCGTCTAGCTATTACAATTTGGCCCTTGTAAAAATCACTGAAATCCTTACGCTTGCCCATTTGTTCTGCTTCCAACACATCAACTTTGGGGACAAAATGTTCACTTGCTGCTTAATATATCCCCGCCACTTCCAGGTGCCATTGTAATGAGATAATCAATGTTATTCACTTCAGCTCTCAGTGATCATAATGTTATGGCTGGTCGTTGTATCAGAAAAACTTACGTACTTGCCAGGCAGGGGTAGATGGAATTAGAGGGACAGAGAGACAAGGTCTGAGCTTTTCTGTACATGGACTGCAAGAGGCTGACACCAAGTTCAATTCAGGTACTTACACTGACCGCATTAAAACAAAAATACATTTCTGATGTATTATGAATCCAGAGCTCCATTAATTTACATCTGCCTGGAGTTACACTTAAAATATGTTTCTATATGTATGACTATTTACATTACGCTCAGGATCCTATTCTCTGTTTTGAGTTATAATTATTGTTTTATAATAATAAGTTAACTTTTCACTTTTCTGCCTAACAATTGGGAAA